CAATGCCCAGGCATGGCTGCATATGGGACCCCTGATAGCCATAAATAGTAGCTGTAGTAATCTCATTTGACAGATGAGGAATCTGAGGCTCAGAGGGTTAAGTAACTTTTCTGAGGCCACAGAGCTGGCAGACCATGGTTCACATCCCACATTTCCCCTCACAGAGGCCATTTCCTTCCCAACGTGCTGCTGGGAGGCCCATCTGGATGCACAAGGGGGTGGGCTGAGGAGCGACTGGCCCACCCTACTTCACGCAGACCCCAGCCAAACCCTCGCTCCTGGCCCATTACAAATGGAGACCGTGATAAGGACAATTAAAAAGCTGAGGCAGAAGGAAGGCTTATTAGTGAAAGGAAAGTGAGAATTGTTTAGCTCAGAGAAGGGAAACCTGGGGCAGAGGGGGTGCTGCTGGTGGTGGGGTTTCAGGGGCGATCTGTGTGGAGTCCTGAGTTAGCCATGTGGACCGCCGCCTCTGTCCTGGGGCTTTGCCAGGTTGCTCAAGAAAGTCCTTTCAGCGGAACGTGTGGTTTGCTTGGAAAACTGTTGCCTGAGACCGAGTCCCATCCTGCCCCTTCCTGCTTATTGCTGAGGGGTAAGTGGTGCCCTTCTCGTTATTTTCAGCATCATTTGCATCAATCTGCATGCATTATGAATCCTTCTGAATTCTTTCACCTGTTTAAATTTAGCCAAATTATTATATTTTATATGTTGTTTCCTCCTGACATGGTTTTCCCCTCCCTAAGCCATCTTTCTTATTTCTCCCACCTCCAACCCGATCTGCATGTCAGCCTCATCCAGGTCTTGACCTCGTGCTGGGTAATGGGGTGGGATGGAAAGAGCCCTCTACTGTGTGACTTGCGGCAACTTGCTTAACCTCTCTGAACCTTGCTTTCACCCCAAGGAGAAAAATGAGGACAAGCACCCTGCCCTCCTGGGGATAAGAAGTGCATTTGGAAGATGACAAACTGATGGCAAGTGCAGGGTAGGGCTTGGGGCTAGGAATCTGCTCTGTAGATTCCAAAGCAGGCAGAGGGCTTGATGAGCAGGTGTCAACAGCCGAGTTTGCTTTCTTGTGTGATGGCCTCGGCCCCACAGTTTAACCTGGACTGTGGACTTGCTGAAATCCCTGGGGAGCAGACAGCTGCCTGTCCGGACTAACTGCAGGGGCCCTGGGAGGCAGTGCCTCCTTCACCAGCCCTCTGAGGGCTGAAACCCCACCACGGAGCTCACTCCTCTGCAAGCTCCCAGCTGCCACTACAAGGCGATCGCCTCTGGAGCAGGAGGTGCCACAGTGAAGAAAGCGGGGCTCGAAGGCAGCCAGACCTGGAAGCAAACGCAAGCTGTGACTCAGGGCCAGGACTAGGCACCTCCCTGGTGCCAACCCTGTCTGTGCTCAAGGGACCTCGAGGGCCAATGCCTCCTCAGATTTTGTGTCCAAGGCACCTTGCTTACCCTCGCCCTGGCCCGGGGTTTTCCAGTGCTACTGTGTGGCCTTGGGTAAGTTATTTACCCTCGCTGATCTCCAGTTTCCTCATCTATATAAGGGCGATAATAAGGATTGTTGTGAGATTTAAATGAGATAATGCCTGTGAGGGGCCTAACTCAGTGCCTGGAGGGCATAGCCAGGGAGGGACAAACAGCAGCTTCTGCTCTGATGTAGCCATGGCTGAGCCTGTCCACACCTCTCCGGGGGGTGACTTCTGGGAGGCAGAGAGTGAAGGAGCCCCTGATTTCTAGAGAGCAATGGGAGAGCAGGGTGTGGCCAAGGGGTCAGGGGTCAAGGCTGTTCACTGTAGAGAGCCAGGGCACAGGCCAGCCTTGGCCCCTCTGAAGACCCCCGACCCTACGAATGGTGCCACACAAACTTGTGTGGGAGCGATAGCCTCAGCTGGAGTCTCAGAAGTTTCTCCCCACCCCTGTGCTCAGTTTATTTTTGATGGTTGACAAACGACAAATTAATTTACCTGCCACTCAAATGCGGACTCTGACTCGCAGCCATTCCAATTTCCTGGAAATTATAAGATACTGTTCTCAACAAGCTGAGGCTGTGTTTTTCCCCTCAGCTAAGTCCATGGCCCCCGGTCAAAATGGATGTTTATTAGGTTTGTGTTTTGTGTTATTGACTGTGAGCTATTGTTACCTGCTGTAATTGAGTTGTGAATCTTTTTAAAATAAAGAATTAGCAGCAAATCAAAGCGGCTGCCTGCTGGATGCTGAAACAAGAGCACAGCTGGCTGTAGCGCGAAGGCTGCGTGGACTCCACACCCTGAGGGGAGCTGGGTGGGGTGGGGGGGAGGAGGGAGTGGACCCCACTTGAATGAGCATGGAGCACCTCAGTCTCTCCTGCACCCCACTCTGGGCTCCACTGCTAATTTCCAGTGGGGCCTTGGGCAGGCCCTTTCCCTCCTCTGAGTCTCCAGTTTCTTCCTCTGGGAATCAGGATGGAAGACCTGTCCTGCCTGTCCTCGCCCACAGGAGGCCAGTGAGTGTGCGCAGAGCGAGCGGGTCGGTGGGAAATGCCTCTCAGGTGTAGTCAGATGACCCGGACCGGTCATTTGAGCCACCAGGAGACACCCTTGGGGTCAGCGGTGAAGGTCAATTGTTAAGGTACCTGCTCCTCGATGTTCAGTTCTAGTCCAGATGGCACCCGTGAGCAAGGTGTGCTTCTTCCCTATGGCCCACCAGACCAGGGCAGCCCTATGCCCAGGAATATCCGAGCGGGAGGAGATCTCAGCGACTCTCTACAACCCAGCCTCCTCCAGATGGGCTGAGCCTGAAAACACTTGCTCAGAGGGGGAAGCACACTTTCAAGGTCACACTCCAAGCCTACACAGTGAGACGCTCCAAGAGTGGGCACAGCCACCTGCGCTTTAACCAGCCCTCCGTCATTCCGATGCCCACTCGACGATGGGCACCACTGGTCTAAGCTCTACCAGTAGCTCTGCTTAATGACCGCACAGTGGCCCAGGAGCCATCAGCCTCCTTCCAGCCTGGCCTTGCTCTAAGGGCTATTTGCATATTTATAACATCATTCATGGGCCAAACAAAATTATCAACTTAAAAATGAGCCTGCTACATTTGGTCAAACCTTTAATTAATGCCTAATGCCTTGGCAGGGCCAGACCCAATGATTCCGATGGCCTTATATGGCCTGTGGGCCAGACGTTCCCCACCCCAGCTCTAGGGAATACTGTGGGCTTGGGGTTGGACACGGACAGAGCTGAACAGCTACTTCCCTTGAGAACAGTGAAGTCCCGGGAAAGGAGGCGCAAGGCTAACAACGTGGTCCTTCATGTGCATCGCACTTGTGTTTCCCAGATGTTTGTACATGCACTGCCTCATTGGAACAGCACCAAGTGCGATTCAAGAATAGAAATAATTATAATTGCGAATAATAAGGATAAAGAATGTTCTGAAGCCGGCTCACACATGCCTATCATCTCCACAAATAGTCTGTGGGCCCCTGGAGGATAGAGGACGCATCTTCCCTGCTGCCCCATTCCATCATCTCAAATCTCCCCTTCTGCAGTCCTTACGAAAGGTCAGAGTCTGTGGCCTCTGAACTTTGGTGTGCCACCCAGGCACCCGGGGACATGCACCCACAGACAGGACCCCAGTCCTCTGCCCCTCGGCTTCCCCCTCTCCCCCATACGCACCTGTAGGTGTCGGTGGCTGGCACCTTCCAGGTCTGGATGCCCTTGAGGGGGCCCTCGCTCCCCACCACCACGCTCAGGTTGGTGTTCCGGTAGGCATTGTTGCACTGGGCCTGCGTGGGGCCGTGGGGCCCACTGGCCCCACACGTGGTAAATAGCCAGTGAACTGTGACACAAGAAGAAAGACAATCACTCACGTGGCCTGACCCTCCCTCCTCTGTGGGGCCTCTCTGGCTGCCTCTGAGCTGTGTGCTCCATGGCACTAACATGGCACCAAGATCAGGGCAAGAGACACCGCTCGGCACTCAACCTGGAAACTGCTGTTGGGGTCAACTATGTGCCAGGCCCTGGGTCAGGTAGATGGAGCGGACGTGGACCCTGGCATTAGGAAGCTCTGAGCCTACTAAGGGAGACCAAAAAGGAGGCAACCAGCTACAACATAGAGCAGTAAAATGATACCATGAGAGAAGGTCCGTTTCAGGGGAGACAGGTGCAGGCCGAGGCTGCACCCTCTCCCGGTGACTCATCAAGTCCAGCGCAGTGCCAGGCAAACAACAGGCATGTAACCTGTGCAGTCGTGACTATATCTAACCTGTCCCCAGGACTTCGCATCTTCATGTAGGATCCTCTTAGTGTGGAGAAGATCGAAAGAGTAACCTGGACACAGTCAGCTCCATGACCCCTCACTGGCCTGGGGACCCAGGACCGTGGGATTAGGAAGACCTGTCCTTCCGGCTGGCCTCCTTATTCTGGCCTCCTTATTCGTAACCACTGGGGTTTAGAACTGCAATAAGCAGCTCTCGGGCTCTCGATGAAACAGTGGAAATAATAGGGAAGCAGGTCACATTTGGGGGTTTTGGGGTCACATTGTTTTTGGTGCCTGCCTTCTTTTTCCAAGCCCCTCGCCACTGCCTGGGATCTGTCATCACCTGGAGCACCCCATGTCCTTAGATGACCTTTGGGGCGTCTCTGGAACACTCAGCACACCCCACCCCTCCACCGCCCCTGGGCCGTCTCCTTTCACACTTTCTGTCTGTGAGTCAGATTTCATGTTGGCCGGAATTCTAACATTTTTATAACCTATAAGGACTTGAAAATACCATGTTCTTGATACACTGCTTTGACTTCAAATACAAAAATGTCACTATAAGATTAAAGAAATTACTTCCCTTTTAAGAGATTAAGTCGAATTCTACCTATAGGAAATTATGGAAAGATTAATTTGGGCATATATAGCTTTGTTCACCAAAACGTTAAAGTGAAATTTTTTGGAAAACTTTCAAATAACTTAATGATGCAAAAATGAAAGATTAATTTGGGCTACTAACTACAAGCGATCAGATTGGGCTCACAGGGGCAGTGTTGATCATCTGAAACCTGGGCCAGGTGTGGTGGGCTCCGTGACACTGCCCTGGCCCCAGGTCTGGAGACAAAAGAGGCCTACAGCTGCCCAACACTTTTCCAGACTTCATTGTTTTTCAAATGAAGATGTTGATTTCTATCTGGTTTCTGAAGGTTGTTTCAAGGGCAAGAAGTTGATGAATTCTTTGGTGTGAATGGCTGAATGTTAATTCTCTGATCTATTTGTATTATAAAGGGATAACCTGTTAATTCAAGGTTGTAACTCTTTACTAAAGGCACTTTAGCAGAAGGGCTCTCTTGCCCAAATACGTGGGCTGCGCCTGGGGTGGAGGTGGGGGTGCGTTGGGAGGTTGAGACCTGGGGGAGTGGGCTGTTTGAAATGGAAAGGACACAGGCTTTGAAATCGGCAAGGACACCTGGGTTTGGGGGTAGTCTCATCACTTACTGACTGTGGGACCTAGATGAGTTCCTTCATCTGTATAAGGGGCTGGACTGGCATTAGAATGAAAGGAAGCAAGGGGTATGAAAGGTCATTGTAAAGTTCAAAACTCTAAAAATGTGAGTTGTGTCAATGACTCCTGCCTACACCCAAGGCTGGTGCTGTTGTTACGAATAGGAAATATGGCAATGGGAGTGTCTGTGAATGCTAATAGATCTCTGCCAGCAGCTCCCAGGAATTTAAATTAGTGAGTTGGGATGAGGATAGGTGCAGGGAGTTGAGAAATCTACTCCCCCCATCATCTCTAGTCTATTCTGCAGGACCAGTCTATACCTACAGCAAGGAGCCCGGGTTTGGAGACAACCTCAGCCTCATCAATCTGGGTAGAGGCATAAGACAAGTGTGATACAATAGGGTGCCCCAAAATGTATACACACACTTTAAATGCTTACAAGGGCAGTGTTTATTAAAATACATTTCATTTCCAAAATTGAGCTATCAGCTTTTAAAGTGTGTATACATTTTTTGGGACTAACATAACATAACATAACATAACAACATAAATATTTTCCCTTATGTGTGTGCTGAGGAAGAGAGCTAAAGGTGTGGGCTTGGCACCCTACCCTAATAATACCTACTACTTAGACTTCCAGTTGGCATTATAGTATGACCTAAGCAAAGTGCAACATTTGGCATTAGAGAGGATCAAATGGCCGCCGGGAGGAGCCTGGATTGGAGGCAGGGAAGGAAGGAAGGCTGGCGCTGTCCTCTTTTCTTACTTTGAAAACAAAACAAAAAACTATTGTGTTAAAACTCATTTACGGAGTTTTATCTTGTTCTTACTTATCATTTATCTTGTTCTTTTACCACACACTGGAAGCCTAGTTTAATATTCACTCACATCTAAATTGTATAAAGAACCCACAAACATCAAAATACTGATTGGTTATTAGACATTTGAGCAAAGAAAAATCCATTAAGCACTGGGTTTCATTTTAAGTATATTGCAGAACCCTCTAAGAAGAAACAAATCAATTAGTAATACACAGCACAATGCTGAAAAACCATGGGATAGACAGCGATTGTACTGGTTTTATTACTGTTGTTAAGCCATCTTGTCTGCTCAACTGAATGCAAAGAAATAAAGCACGATACAAAAGAAAATAAGTTCTCAACTACGGCTGTTAATCGCAATAATGAGGATCTGCCTCATGCTGAAGGCCTAGGTGGTTGTATCACAGAAGAGCACTCAATGGCTCATAAGGAACTTTTGTACCATTTAAAAAAAAATCTTCACCGAAGACATTTTTTTCCACTGATTTTCAGAGAGAGTGGAAGAGAGAGGGAAAGACAGAGAGAAACACTGATGTGAGAGAAACACATCAATTGGTTGCCTCTTGCATGCTCGCCTACTAGGGCCCAGGCCGGGGAGAAGCCTGCAACCTAAGTATGTGCCATTGACTGGAATCTAACCCAGGACCCTTCGGTCTGCAGGCTGATGCTCTATCCACTGAGCCAAACCGGCTAGGGCCCTTTTGTACCATTTTGATTCTGGTCCTTGGAACTGAAATTTACCCTTATCTGTTGACTGGGCTGAACTTCATGGAACCTGTGGTATATCGAACCATTTTGATCACCATCATAGATCCCATTACATCAAACCAGGATTAAATTCATCATCCATAATATATACAGTACCATTCTTTATTGTAAATTGGAAAATTTGAATACGTAATGAAAATGAATAAATTATGCTCCTTATTAGGGTGAAGTAAAAATAATGTACATATTGTAGCCATTAGGAGGTTAAAACATTTCTACCATCTGTCTCAACTCTTTAAACAGTGGAGCAGTGCTCCTTCTAGATATACAATCAATGCCCGATGATTGCTTTTTTTTTTTGATGTTCGCAGTTGTAGAAGCTTAATGCCTAGGCCCATGTATTTATTGGGAGCTGCAAAATAATGATACTCAAATTATACCTTTTCTTCTTATTTATCAGTTGGAACACATTTATAAAGCGATGCTTCCTCTTATCTACTATTTGGTTACCCATGCAGGATAAATGCTCAATTCTTTCTCCTTATTATAGTTTTCAAGGTAATGAATTAGTTATTTATCATCCTCTAAAGTTGACCAATTAGTTGTGTATACATGATATAAATTCTTGAATTTAAACATATTTTTTAGTTCTAATTGACCCCTATTATCCTTTAGAAGCTCAGAATGTCACATTTTTGATCAGTGGTGAGCCTCCCGAGCTCTTTTGCTTTCTTGCTATCTGGTACAACAAAATGTGCCTTCCCGAGACCTGGGTTCAGCCATTTTCTCCAAAGTCTTTGTTTCTTTGGGGAAAGGTATTTTAATTACACACCTTGAAGGCTATAGACACTTATTGCTACTGGTTGGTGTCTAGGGTTCTTTAGTGACAGAGCTAGGCAATATCTGTGTGTGTACATATGTATATCAGTATAAACATACACATATATGAAGTACACACACGGATATGACAAAATACCTCATGAGCTCACACTGATACTTTCTTTTTTTATTACTATTTTTTTCTTTATTGATTAAGGTATTACATATGTGTTGTTATCCCCCCTTACCCCCCTCAACCCTCCCCCCAGCTCATGTACTCACCCCCCTGGTGTCTATGTCCATTGGTTATGCTTATATGCATGCATACAAGTCCTTTGATTGATCTCTCCCCCTTACCGCCACCCTCCCCTGCCTTCCCTCTGAGGTTTGACGGTCTGATTGATGCTTCTCTGTCTCTGGATCTGTTTTTGTTCATCAGTTTATGTTGCTCATTATATTCCACAAATGAGTGAGATCATGTGATATTTATCTTTCTCTGACTGACTTATTTCGCTTAGCATAAAGCTCTCAGGTCCATCCATGCTGTTGCAAATGGTAGGAGTTCCTTCCTTTTTACAGCAGCATAGTATTCCATTGTCACACTGATACTTTCAATTCAAATTCAGGATTACAGAGTTTTAATCTCTTCTATATTAATCCATATTTCTTTTTTCCACACTGAGAATCTTGGTTCTTAGGAACATTCTAATAGAATTAAAACATTTTATAATTACTCATTTGCTTTTTTTTTCTTTATACTATTTTTATTTTATTTTACATTATGCATGGGTTTAACACTTACAACACAGCCCAGTTCAGACTATTCACATTTCAGGTGCTCAATATGACTTGCATGTGACTACCAAAAAGACAAAACCAAATTAGACAAACCACCCATCTACATGGGAAACTCATTTACTTTTTCCATCATTAAGCACACAATAGTATCAGAGTAGTAACACTACCACAATACCATCATCAATATAAAAACCGAGACCTGTTAA